AATATCGGTATGAATTACAGAGGCTATTGGGATTTGTTTTGTAATAGAAAAACTATCAAAGCTAAAAAAACGGATGTTATCGGGACATGTGCACTGTGCAGCGTAAGTAAAATTCGGCTGACTAAAAATTGTCCATGTTATCAGAACAAATGTGTCCTTGTTTCTTCTGCTTTCTGAACCATCAACCAAGGCACACTAATTACCATTGAAACAAATAATAGGACAGCCAAAGGAAACCCGATTATCTCACACAACATTTCTAGTTGCTCCTGGCTATCCACCAACGAGAGAGAACCAGGGTCGTGTGTGGTGGACTCTCCCATTAGCAAAGGTCAGCGAAGATTGTCCTGAATTAACCCGATTTAGCTCTAATCTGACCAGGACGAGGGTATCACATTGGAGAACGGTACCACGTAGGTGTCACTGCCAGACACAAAACTGGGAAAACTTGTGAAATACATTGTGTGCAGGTCTGTATACTGGTCTGTACACTGCCGACTTGATCATTTATTCCACCATGTGCCTCCTCTTTTTTGTCTTTGGTTTGCTCTGATTATGACGTCTTTGCTACCATGAGATCGGAAGGACGCAGGCAGCAAATCTAGCTATAATAATCGTGTTCTCATTATTCTGCGCATGAGCAGGGATGCTGCAGCCCAAGCATTAATTAAAAGCTTCCGCAAATAAATATTCACTGAAAATGTGACGTAAAATTACTCGTCTCATAAATAGATTACCTTTGTCCCTTAGAGCGTAAATAAAACCAATTTCCGGTTCTAATTCATTTAAGTCCATCATAATTTAACAACCACCATAGCGTTACAGTGCGAAGTAGAATATAAGAGAGGGGAGGAGAGAGAGAGAGAGAGAGAGAGAGAGAGAGAGAGAGAGAGAGAGAGAGAGAGAGAGAGAGAGGAGAGAGGAGAGAGGAATGTCATTCAGTACCGCCCAAAGTGGATTTTAGCAGGGATCTTTCCAAGCATCCATCAGGCTCTTTCCCAATGAAATCATTGGAAACCCTGATCCAATTCTGCACTGGTGAAAGGCGGCCATCCGAGAAAAACAACAGAACTACGAATACATATCGTCTGTGTCACACAAGACATCGAATGTCAAATATGGCTCAGAATTCCAATAATCTAAAAGGCTTGTGGGAGCTTTATGGGAAATGAGCCGAAATGTTTATCAACATCTGCGCTCTGGTTTAACCAGGCTCTTTCGATCATCAATAAAAGCAGATTAATTTACATCCAAGTGCCGAAATATGTAATTGTAACTCGATTTACTTGGTTACATATCTGCCTCAGTGTTCAGGTAAATACCGTGCCAGGGGCGGAAGCGCAACTCCATATTTCTCCCGAGTTTCAAATAACCCTGGTGGTGTGGGTGAATTTGCATAAAATGATGCGGTCACATCTGAACTGCGAGCACGTGAGCACAATGCATGCGCGTATGCATTAAGATGAAGTACCGTCGCACATCGCTCGCTTACACCCACTCAACACGGTAAAACGGTAAAACATTTGCCTTGCGCGGCCTTCTCGTTCTCGTCTAGAGCTATACGGCGACCCTCCTTGATCTCGTTTCCGCTAACATAAACATAAAAACAAACCAGTATCGAAGTCGGTCCAATGGGTACCGCTGCACTCTGGCCGTCTGACCCTACTGGGCCTGAGGGTAAGGTTCACAGACATACTTCCTTGAATCCGGTTCAGGGCGGTCAGGGTAGCCGCAATTTTAGGCGTGTAGAAACAACATTTGACAATCGGAGAATGAATGTGTTCTGTGCTTGTAGTGGCTCACTTATGCGATGCTATATCGAAGAGTTGCGGTCCTATGATGGATAATCAGTAATCAATATGTAGCAATGCCGTGTTTCACTAGTTCATTGTTCATGGGAGGGAAAAATAAACAAACGAGAACCCTTACGTACACTATAATGCTAAGGAAAGTTACTATGCATTTCAGACCCTATGAGACCCTGTTTTTTGGCGATAATTTCTTTAATATTTATCCAATCGGCTTCAAATTTTCGCAAAGCACATTTCAGCTCAAGCGCCAATTTTTGTCAATATGGTCGTTTAACAAAATATCAAAATTTAGGGTACTTGTCGTTGCCTCGTAATGTTAAAATCAGCTCCGTAAATCCGTCAGTGGAGTAGAGGCTATCCGTGCGTAGGTGTGACGTCACAAACACGTGACCATTAAGCTCCGCCCTCCCGGCGGACGGGGCGGTGACCTTGGCCGGTCAGTCGGCTGCGTAGTGCGGGCGAGGCAGTAGCTGCCGCACCGGGGTGGATCGCATGGAACGTAGCTGCCGTGCAGTTGTCGTTGCAGCCGTAACCTAACCGAATGAGCAAAAATAGCACTCATAAGTAACGCACTAGCTGAAGCCCTCGCCTTTGCATTTACCTATAATTGCAAAGGCGTACCTACATCCTGTTCAGTTACAATCACCTTCTGTCCCGCCCGGCGCCCTGCACCACTTCAATCACGAATACAGTCGTCTCGCTGGAGCAATGCGCCAGGCAATCGGCCGTGCCCGCGACTCTTCATCCCACTTTGTTGCTTTCTGCGCCTTCTTCAGAAACATTTATTGACGGTGCAAAATATATAAATATTTTGGGATAATGCAGAGGCTTACGCATGATCTTATAGGTGATAGGGATGACCTGACCCAACCTGACGATGAGATAGGTGCAACTCTGGCTTAAATAAATGCTCGGAGCCCAAGAGTTCGTCTATCTAGTATCTTTCCTTTTACGGCCGGTTCTGGGGAGGCTAATAATTCATCCTACCCTGATTCTGATCATTCTGAATATCCTGAGCTGGCTCGACGTTTAGATACCAAAATAAGGAGAAGAGGACACCACTGCCCTCGAACTGGAAGGGATATTTTTGCTTTCGTCCCGAAACAACTTTGCCAACTCAATTTGTCTCAAGCATGCGGTCCCGCTGCGAACCCTCCGCGGTGCTGACGCCGACTGAAGCGCCATAGACCCAGCGCGGTCACGGCCAGTGGGCGGAGTCAAGTTGAGCACGGCGTAACGTGATTGGCCAGCGCTCCTATCCAATCCGGTGCAGCAGCGAGCGAGCCTCTATCCGGGTGAAAAATATGATTAACATTACGAGCCAACGAAAAGTGCTCTAAATATAGATATTTTGTTAAGAGACCATATTGACAAAAATTGGCGCTTGAGCTGAAATATATTATGTCAAAATTTCAAGCTAAATGGACAAAAAATGAAGAAATTATCGCCGAAAAACAGGGTCTCATGGGGTCTGAAATACATAGTAGTTTATCATTAATTAAAAACACTGAATAGATACATAACCATCTTCGCAGGGAAGTGGCAAGTCATTAACTGTACAAACTATTAAAAAAACATTCACCGTTTTGCTTTCAACATCATCCCATTCATGAGTGCTTCCATATCCGCATCGGAAATCATCGAGACTGGCCGACTTTCTCACTACTCAGGCACAAAAAACAGCCTGAAGGCCATCGTAGAAGTTAAGTCATAAACAAGTCACAGCGCGGTCAACGTCGATGACAGTCCAGATGGACCTGACTGACCCCAGTGACGATTATTTCGACTCATGTAGGTAAAGGCTGACAGTACCAGGCTGAAGAGCCCCGTGAGAAAGCTTTTAGGAGGCGGCGAGCGAGAACTGAGCCCTGGATAAACCGCGTCGAGAGCCGTGTCGGTTTTGGTAGGTCTCCAGCGGAGCCAGAGTGAGTGAGAGAAAAGAAAGGAGGAGAAGGCGAAATGATAAAATGAAACGGACACTATTTTTATTGCCAGGGTCGAGAGATGCTGCAATGGCACAGTTCTAAAACAAATTTCTTATGGCCTAAAAACTTTGAAACCATTACCTATCGGAGGGAGACAATGAATGATGCAAGATGTCGTAATATGAGGATTGAAAGTTCTACATATCTACAGTACCCTATAAGCCGTATCAGAAAACTGTTGGTAGGTAATCAGCATTGTTAGTGCTCGCAAACAGTTCAGGTGCAAAAGTTAAGTAGCTTTCTGCATTACAGGCATGCAGCCGCATGGCTGAGCAAATCTCAAATGAAATCTCATTACTTCAAATGTCAGGCATGGGATTTAGAGTAACCTGGTAGCGTAAGAGGATTTTTCCTATAGGCATTTGAAACGTAAATAACTAAAATAGGTGTATAAAGCTAGCTGCTGTTCGTAATTTTGGTTGCAAATTGTTTACGCTGAAACAGTATAATTAAAAATTGTAAACCGAACGTCTGCATACACATCGCACACAATATGTTTGCGTAGTGTTTACTCATGTATACAACTAACAACCAACTTCTCCTTCTTCTCCTGGCTTCTCCCAGCTGCGCCCATTAATTCTGTCCATCCCGCCCCCGCAGTACGCTGATGCCGACCCGCGACCCGGGTCCCCTAGGGGTCGTACGGCGTCAGACAGTGTGCTCTATGTGGTCCCAGAATGCTCCCCTGAGGTACACCGCAGGCGTGGCACGTGACCGGTCGGGGGTAGGAGCACGCGTCCGCGGGGACGCTCCGCCGTATCTGTACTAACACTGGGGATAGGGCTGCTACCTGAGGGAAATACGATTGTGTTAGTGTAAATGTTTGTTTACTAGGTAGACGCAAAGTTGTTTTTCGGGATGATTTTCAGATATCTTTACATTTTTGATTTATCAACCAGCCATGCGAATAAGAGCAGCGAATTTCGTTCACGTTTACTGACAGCAATGGTAGAACCTCTTTTATCCCTGACCTCTCATGGACTTCAACCACTTCACTTGTATCATTTTCAGTGGTGATGTAACTATTTAGCCCTTCCCCAATGTCGGGACCGGGATGTGGACGCTAAGTTAGTGGTTTCATATAATCGAATACATAATTGCTGAGTGGACACTGGATACCCTGGCTGCTGGTGGCTCGGTGCAGCAAACAACATTAGGCATTTCGAGGAACAGGGCATATTGTTGTTTGACAAATAGTTCTTACCTGCTGCCATGGCAACGGCGGCCAACAAGAGAAGGCGGCCGCCCGTCGCCGCCATCTTGAAGACGTATTCTGCAACAGAGAGACAAATGCGTTACATGGGTGCGCCGCAATCATCTACAGTAGGCTTGGCAAATTAACAAACAAAAGCGTATGAAACATGGTGATTGATAAACGTTTCAATTAGCACCTAAGTGAAAAACGTAATCGTCTTCGGGTAAAAGCAAAACGTAAAACACGACCTAAGTGATCAGAAAGCTATCAATGGCATTAGAAGCTCAGTACATTTCTGAAGAACAGATTGCATACTTATTGCTTATTTTCTTTTCAGTATTTTAGTATATCCAAAGAGGAAAGCTTCCATTTCGAATGGTCTTCTTCCCTTTCCCCGGTCACCTCTCCTTGTTTTCTCCCATTTTCCCCGATCCCAGTCCAGTCACGCGCATCCGAAATCCGCGAGCGGACACTGCTATTTCGCACCCTCGACGGCGCCGCGAACAAATCTGTCCTCGGCCGTTTCAATTTCGTCTCGATGGCAGCAAGGGTGTAGAAACGATCGGATTGTCAGCCTCCGCGACAGCCGCTGCTTCCCACTGTGGCTTTCGAGAGACGTTTGCGACGCACTCACGACGCTCACGACGCTCTGGGACGATAGCGACGCAGTGCGACGCACACGACGAGGGCGACATTGCAATATATTTCATCCGAGTGGCGACGGCGAACCGGCGAGCTCGTTTCGTTGAGGATTTGTTTACAAGCTGCCTCCGCAGCAGACAGGCGGGTCGACAGAGAAAACACTCTGTGACAAAAGACAATGACAAACGGCAATGACAAACGACAATGTCAGCGGCAGCCAGTAAACGACTGAGGTTGAAACGGGCGTCTTCAGAGAGCCCCGATGAGACGAACTCTCAGAAGCGATACGGATTTGCTGGCGAAGCAGCATTGAAGGTTTGGTTTGGGCGCTGGGGGTTTCTATGGAAAGAATATGCTGACATGTTTGAGAAATGTCCTGTGTGTTAGCAGATCCTCTTCTTCTCATGCATATCGTGCTCTTTTGCACGAACCATAACTAGATAACAGCCTAAATGTTATCTATGTTATCTGTTATCTACATATGTTCTACTGTTATCTATGCACGGACATATTGCATGCGCGTACAAATGTGCTTATTTTTTCATTTGAAAGTAACGTGTGTGACAAGCTTCAGGCTCGCAAAAAAATCCTTAATTTTTGCTGTGTACTTTGTGAACTAATTAGACGTATGGTTGGCTCAGCTGTTTTGAATTTGAGCTCACCAACTCTCTTTTTCGCACCGTTTAATGATTTGAAATTTATTATGCAATGTAAGCACACAAACTAAAGGCTTCAAAGCATGTCGTTTGAACATCTGCCGTCGCTGGAATCTCAAGTTGAGGCTGCACTATTTATAATTTCTTTTTGACGCCCTTTTAGTGTCTTCCTCTTGTCAGGTTCAACTCTGCCGCACAATGCTATATATGTTGCCGCTTATTGTATTTTTGCTTCGTGCTTTTCTTCGATTTATATTAAAGTTGCTTTGAACAACAGGCAATAAACAACAGGCTTTGTCAGCTATTGCTAAACAATAAAAACTCTCTCTTTCAATTATAGCAGGATCAAAGGCCCGCGTAGAATATCATATCTCAAAGTCTGGAATTCCTCTTTCAGTGAATTATCAATACAGTAGGAAAGCAACCGTTTGGAGGAATGACAATTAAGGTTCGTTGGCATATTTATTTACAATGCAAAACAAAATTCACTCAAAAGACAATTCGATATATAAAACGCATTTTCATTACATTGGATATTGCGTACCAAATAATTCATTTAATGGTGATGCTCAAGCGCAATTGTCATTCATAGCCATGGAAATTGTAACAAACGCGTCGAAAATATCGCAGCTTTTTAATACTGCGACGCGTTCCAACAAATCAGACAAGACTTCAACCCTTATTTTGATAAAATTATACTTTCTTCAGCCTCACAACACCACACTCCCCAACCCCACCCCTCCCCGTGCCGCGCCCACCTTAGTTCCCCACCACCCCTCCCCTCCCTCCTACACCCTCCCCCTCCCCTCCCCCCTCGAGCGGGAGTCAGCTGACTGCAGTCAGTCACGAAACGTTGATCGCCCCGGGGCATTGAATTCCGATGCTGCCCCGCCCCGATCGGAAGGGACAGAAAGGCAGTGGCTGCCGACGCGTCTGGCCCCAACCCGGAGCATATACCCGCTAGCAAATGGAAAGCCATGATGACAACATAGCAGTACAAACGTGTAAGCCGAAATCTGATTTGATAAAAGCAGTTTGTTTTTTATGTTATCTCTCAGCTTAATAACAATAATATACAAACGATTATCACTCAATCATTTTATCTAAGATTAGCATGGTGTGGATAGTATCATGTTTTGTCTTTATGAATGAATGTATAGACGTGTATGCAACGCGCGATTGAATGAAACGAGCATTGTTTTTATTTGGAACGACGCAGCGCTTTTATTGACTATTTGCTGTTTGGCTAATTTGGACCGGCTTCAGTGCAATGAAAGCATTTGTCCTTACACGTCACAAAAGGCATTCCACTATTCCTACTTTCCCTTGCTTTATATGATTTCATCTATTGCCTGGCCCCGCGCGTGTTATCGATTGCCCTATTTTCCATCGATAAGAGTCAGCTGAATTGCAGTTTATTCCGCTCCAAAAGGAACCGATCCACAAACTGATTGTGGCCTGACGTTGCCAGGAACGCGCCTGTCAGTAGCAGGGATTGACTGTTCCTGGCAAAGACAGCTGTTTTCCTGTGTTTGATCAATTGATACACCTGCACCATTCAGTTGTCGACTAACAAGGAAATATGTTGTTCCTAAGCTCAGCATAAAGCGACAAAGTATAAAATCGTCACAAAACGCAGCTGTCTTGAACAATTTAAGGCCTTACCTTTTTATTGGGACTCATGTTTCGTATTTAATAGTTTGAATCGCAAAAGATTGGCGTGGCGCTAGTTTACATAAGTACTCGTATTTGTGTAATTCGGAATGCCTTTCCAAGAGACACGCCGATGGCCCATTGCCCTACCATTTTACTGAACAAACATCAAATCAACCAGTTTCTTTGCTTCCACACGTGCATCCTTTACGTCATAAAACCAGCTGCGGCCGCTGATTCGTCGACATTTCGTGACGTCATTCCAGTCACGTCCGAAAATGACAGCGATGAAATCGGTACGGCTCTCAGCCGAGTGACGTGGGGAGAATGTCAAACGGAACTTGGTCATAGACGAGACGAGAGGGGACGACCGTGTCCGCAACGTAACTGAATTGGTTTGACGATGGTGGGTGAGCTAGGGGTGGATTGGTGGAGGTTATTTGTTTTGTAGTTTGTTATCAATTCACTGTTCACGTCATTTTGCATAAAGGTCGTTATAAGAAAATATTCATACGTAGCAGTTATTTCACACAAATATCGATTTAGTGCTGCAGAAACATTAGCAAAAAGCCTAGGACAGAACACAATTTAAGAAAAAAGCAAGGACAGAAAAAAGGCCATCAGTTTACCACATACGACATGACATTTACGATATAATTATGCACACAAGGAAATAAAGACAACAGAACAGGCTACAATCCTTGACAATCCATGACATATGTTCTCTCTTTTTTCATCTCGTGCGCAAAAGGCTGGAGAGAACGCAACGCCCTTCCTAATCAGCCGGTAGAGGGTGGTCGTTATTGGTGCTAACGTTGGCCAGAGCTCCCTTCCTGGGCTGATTGGTGATTGGCTGATCGGTGATTGGTGATTTGCTGGCCGGCTGATTGGTGATTTGCTGATTACTGACATCTGATTGGTGATTGGTTGCCTTGTGACCGGTGATTGTGATCAAGCAATATTCCTAACAGAAATTCAAGAACGGCAAATGTTGCAAGAATAGACACAATAGCCAACAAGCGAATGGTCAAGTTCACAGGTTTCTAAGGAGAAACCTATTTCATCAGGAAGAAACCACTACTCAGGAAATACCCTCGGAAACTTTCTACGAATAATAATGTTTATGTTTGGTCAAATGTTGCTCCAAAGTCTACCATGGATGAAAAAAGGGTGAAGCACGCTTGGGTCTTCAGGCTGCTTGCGTTCCATGACAATAATATCATCCATCAAGCAATAACATGCTACATTTTTCTTCTTTCTCACTAGATGATGGCTAAGTGTAATTTCCTTTTTTGTGCTTGCATGTCTGGATGATATCCGTTGTCCCACATACGTTATGGCTTGCCCATAGCCATTACCGTCTGTTCCTTCCGTCATATCCTATAATTCCCGGTTCGATCCAAGCATTTCTAGCAGAATTATGCTGGCGTATCAGAACAAAAAACTCTTGTAAACGGATTTTTACGAATCACCACAATAGAGATAAACATTGAACAGCTGTTGTTCCCGCTACGCCGTTCGCTAAAATTGTCAAGGAAAGTGAGGATAGCGTGGGCAGAAGCGTCCGAAGGAAGAGAATATATCATTTCGTGCAATCGGAAGCTTTTGTTGTCTTTTGCCTTTCCACAAGCATTGCTTGTTAATAGAAAAGAATACAAGGAAAAGAATAGAATACAAAGTTAAGAGCTCAGCACAAGGTTTACAACCCTCCACTTCAATTCTATCATCTCACAAAAGATCAACTCTGAAGCCATCTTTGTAACTCATTCATTCTCTGTTGCTAACTTGGTACAGATGGGGCAAAACAGCAGCATAAACCAGAGGAAAAGAGATTTTGATGTCAGATTCGCGAGCAACCTATGTCGGCTGACAAAGTCGGTCAAGAGTACACTGTGGATTTAATCCATGAGAGGAGAATTGTGAAGTCAGGGAGCGCAAAGTCCATTTACAAACGAACACCCTCTCAAAAAGAGGTAAATACCTACGTGTTATGACTTATGACCACGTACGATTAAAAAACGTAAGGCACTGTGGGAACCATGAAACAGCATCAACAATCTGGCATGCTCTAAGCGAATCAAAATTAAGCACACGACCAATTGCCATCATTATTACCAGTAAAACAAT